TATATATATATATATATATGTATGTATATTCTAAGGACCAAAAAAGCTTCAGATAAACCTAAAACATAATTTGGTATTTCTATCATTAGTTAGCAGGCTTGCTGGCATTATTTTGAAGCTTTTTATATAAGCTGTAGAATAAAGCAAATCAGTAATTACATCAATGATGTTAGAACCAAAATTCAGTGTAAGAAAAAAACAGATTCAAACATAAGATCAATTAGATTAAGTAAAATCCCTGAAATATCATATTTGATATGATATGATCAATATGAACTTATTTTAAAAAATTCTTATGTCATCCAATATTGCAGTGAAGGTAGACTTTTTTAGTGATTTCCTCTGGAGTCAATGTATCAATATTGAAAGAGTTAGATCCCCATTATGAATACTACTGTGGAAATTAAAGAGAACCCTTGGCTTGCTGATGGGCTAAACTGAATTTTTATATTCTAACTTATTCAGTCAGCATTTTTTGGCTATATATGCTAAAATTAATGTGAATATCATTTTCCTTATAGGTATGTTCTGTAGCTCTGGTTTTGAAGCATATTTTTAAAAAATAAAATGTCAAAATAAAAAATTTATAAAATGGAGAATAAATATTTCCATTTATTAGAAATCTTAAAAGGAGAGGGAATTAATATTTTATATAAATATTTTGTTATACTAAGGAATGTCTGTCATTTCATTCTGAAATGGAGTGTGTAATATATAATAAATAAAAATTAGATTTCTTAGTCCTGAAGAGCCTAGAAGTAATATCAGTATTTATGAGCATTTCTATCTTCCAGATTAGTGACCCTCATTAAAAGGAGCCAGGAATCCTTTAAAAAATACATGAAATTTCTTTCAAAGACTAAAGGAATAATGTTAGAACATAGGATCCAAAGTTGGCACAATTTGAGCATTCAAAAGAAAAAGTGACTATAACTGATTAAAATACTCTGAATATATATGAAAATCTTTGCATCTACAATGATACTCAAGAAAAAGCTAGGTGTGATGCTGCATGCCTGTAATCCTAGCAGTCTGAGAGGATGAGGCAGGAGGATCACAAGTTTGAGTGCAGCCTGGGCAAGTTAATGATTTAGCAATACCCTATCTCAAAATTAAAACAAAACAAAAAAAATTAAAAGGGCTGGGGATGTACCTCAATGCAAAGGCCTTTGGTTCAATCCCCAATGCCATAAATAAATAAGAACCTTTCCTCAAAGGGGAAAATATTATTTTCATTTGCTGTCACTGGCAGTGACTATCAATAGATAAGCACATATACAGATACAGATATAATATATATAATGCTCTTTTTTTTTGGTTCCAGGGATTGAACTCAGGTCCTTGCACATACAGAGCAGGCAGTGGAACCACGAGCTAAATCCTTGGCCCTATAATATTCTTGAATTATTTAAATAGAACAGAAATATTTTTTCTGTCCTACTAGTAGGAAGCATGTTTCCATGTAATCAAATACATAGTATCCAAGTGAGATTTATTTCAAGAATTCCATGATAATTCAATATTAAGGATCTATAAATAAAATTCCTCCTTAATAGACCTAACGTGGAAATCAAATGATCGATCATCTCTATAGGTGTTGAAAAGGCTTCTGACAAAGTCAACAATAAGTCTTGGTTTTTATTTTTATTTATTTATTTATCTTTTATTTTGGTACCGGGGATTGAACTCAGGTCCTTGAGCTTACCAGGCAGGCACCAGAATCACAGAGCTAAATCCCCAGCACAAGTCTTGATTTTTAAAAAGCACTCTATAAGGGGCGGGGATTTAGCTCAGTGGCACCGTGCCTGCCTGGTAAGTGAAAGGTCCTGAGTTCGATCTCCAGTATATGAAAAACAAAAGCATTCTAAGACAGAAATCACTTTTTTTTTTTTTTTTTTTTTTTTTTTTTGCAGTACTGAGGATCAGATCTAGGGCCCTAGCACATGCTAGGCAACCATGACTACTGAGCTACATCCTCTACCCATAAATAAATTTTTATTGTGATAAAATGTTTTTTACATCCAAATAGAGTGGGACTAATATATAAAAGAAGCTGCTATGGGGAAGCAGTGACACAAAAAGCATTTGCACTTCTATTAAGGTAGTAAATAAGACCAGAATGTCCATATCACCACCATTATTTAACATTGTATTTGAGATAACAGCCAATGCAATTAGGTAAGAGAAAGTTGTTAGAAGTATAAAAATTGAAAAGGAAGAAGAAAAACTACTATTACTTGCAGACAATATGGTTGTTTCCCTAGAAAACTCAATAAATCAATTAAGAGAACTCAATAAGGCAGCAGGGCACAAAATCATATAATAAGTAATAGCTTTTGGCCCAACGTGGTGGTGCACGCCAGTAATCCCAGCACTCTAGAGGTTGAGGCAGGAAGATTATAGTGAGTTCGAGGCCAGCCTGGGCTACACAGTGAGTTCAAGGCTAGCTGGAACTACATAGTGAGACCCTGTCTCAAAAAAAAAAAAGCTTTTATTTCTTCAGACTACATCTAGACAGAAAATGTAATGAATAAAGAAAGTCCAACTCACAATAGCAGAAAAATATTATAAAATAACTAGTATCAAATCTGACAAGACAGATGCAAAACCTACATGAAAACTCAAGACAATGCTGATGGATCCAAAACAAGAGAAGCAGATGAAAAGATACATTTTCTCATATAGAAATACTTGTCATTATCAAAGATGTTTGTTTCCTAAGTTAATTAATATATCTAATTAGATTTTTTTATTAGGGTTTTATTTTTTTGTGATGTTGGGTATCAATTCCAGGGCCTTGTGCTCACTAGGCAAGTTAGACAAGTACTTGAGCACTATATAATCAGATCTCTATAAAAATTTCTCTAAGGAGCCAAGCGTTTTAGTTACTTCTCTCGTTGCTGGAACAAAATATTCAACACTTGCAAGTTAAAGGAAGGAAAAGTTTATTTTGGCTCACAGTTTGTACAGGTTTCAGTTCATAGTTCGCTGGTCTCACTGTTGTGTGCCATAATGTTATGGTTTATATCTAGATGTCCCCCCAAAGCCTCATGTGCTCATAGGTGGGGTTTGGGGAGGTGATTGGATCATGGGGATGTGGATTAGTCCACTGATGAGTTAATAGCTAAGTGTGATGTTGGAAGGTGAAGCCAGGTTGGAGGAGGTGAGTCACTGGGGTGTGGCCTGGAAGGGTATGTTTCCCTTACTCCTCCCTTGACTGCTCTCTGCTTCCTGCTTGCCATGCCATGAGCAATTCTCCTCTGTAATGTGGCCCTAAGAAAGTAACCAAGACACCAGGCATGACAATACATGGCTGTAATCTCAGCACTCTGGGAGGGTGAGGCAGAAAGACTACAAGTTCAAGCCCAGCCTGGGCAATTTAATTACTTAGTGAAAAGGGCTGGAGATGTAGCTTAGTGCAGAGGCCCTGGGTTCAATCTCCAGTACCACCAAAAAATTTTTTTAAAATTCCTCCTAAAGATTTGTTTTGATTTCTCTCCTCACATTATGTTTTTAAGTAGGCAATTTAATCCTATAGTTTAGTTTTTAAAAAGTAAACACTAGATTAGGCAGGAGACATCAGGAAAAAAATAGTGGCCACCAGCACTGTCAGATTAATCAAAATACACTTAAGAGCCTCAATAATTAATGTTATGCTATTCTAGTGCAGAAAAGGAAAAACACCAATGGAATAAAAAAAGCCAGAAATACACTGTAAAATATACAGGAGTTTAATAATAAAGGTACATCTCAAATCAGTGGGACCACTAAGTAGCCATTTGAAAAGGTAAAGGTGGACCCATACCCAACATATTACATTAGGAGAAATTCCAAGTGGAGCAATATTTAAAATAAAATTTAAAAATCATAATACTTACAGAAGAAAATATTTTGAAATGTAACAGTGACTTAGAGTCCAGATGTCATTAAGTTAAATTCACTACATAGAAATAAAAAATTTTCTTCCTGGCAAAATACATGGCAAATAGAAAATGGGGAATATCCATGATTCTTATTACATGTTTTTATGTAAGAGGAAAAAAATTATGAATTCACATTTGCATTTGTTATTGTATACACAAAGACTGTAAAAATGCATAAAAACTAAGAACATTAGTTATCTATGTCAGAGGTAGAGGAGTAGATGGATAATGAATAAGAATGGGAGGGAAACTTTTCACTGCATAACTTTTTATACATTTTGTTTTTTGAGTCAAGTGAATATATTTCCTACTTAGAAAGTAAAGCTTTTAAAAAGTCTCAACTCAGGGGCTGGGGATTTAGCTCAGTGCTTCCACCGCCTGCCTCACAAGTGCAAGGTCCCCGAGTTCGATCCCAGCACTAAAAAAAAAAAGTCTCAACTGTCACACAGCTTACTTTCCAGTGTAGGCAGACAAACACAGAAATAAATATACAGAGCTGGGGTGTAGCTTAGCAGTACAGGGCTTGCCTGGCATATGAGAAGGAAAAAGAAGAAATATGTACTTGCAATCATGAGACAGTTAAATCCATGAACACAAAGAACTTATTTATTATATTTCATTAGTTTTAACTGTTTCTTGAAAAAGTGAAATACACAATAATAGCTTGATCAATACTTTCTGAAAAACTATAAAGTCACTTTATTTAAGTCCTGCTTGTGTCCACATTATTGTTCTATCAGCTTTTCAATGTGAGGATATAGATTAAATGAAGATACAGTAAATTGTACCTGTTGCAAATAGTGTCAGGAACATATATCTTCAGTTCTTCTGTGACATCTCTCATCACCCTCTGGTATTCAGACATTCCTGGGTCTTTGATATAATTAGGATTATTTCTCATTAAACATTCTCCCAAATGATTAACTGGATCAAACTTGGTTGGACTATCAGCTTTGGTCAAAAGCTTCTTTTCTCGTTTTGTCAACATTTTTTCCATTCCAGGAACTAAGGTGGGTAGAAGTTTGTCAAGCAAATATGCACGAGTACTCAGTGCTGTGTTTTCAGTATTAAACCACTCTTTAGCCAAATTATCTCTAGGCAGTTTTTTTTCAGACTTTTTGTCTAATTCTTTCTTCAGATTATCCTTATCTATTATTTTCTGCTGCATTGCCTGGGCTCTTGCCTCCATTCTTAAAAAAAGATTTTTCTTCCATGGTTGTTCTAGCTTTGGTTTCAGTTTAATTTCATCTAAATTAAAAGTTACTCTTGCAGGTTTTCTAATTATCATATTCCCTGGGACTTCAGTGTTCAAGTTCATTGTCAAACCTTTTGAAGTTTTCAGCTGTTCCTCTAAATTTAATTCTGAGGAAAAGAAAAAAAATACAAGAAATATTAGAAGAATGTAGGAATATATATTTTAATATGTATGACCCTAGAATATTATTTTTTTAAGTTTTTATATCCATTTACATGGTATATTAGAATACCTGAAAATGGCTGAAAAGTGCCACAAAGTGTGACAACAGTCACTTGAACCATAAAGACATTTACTGTTGACTTAATCAGAAGTCGTTCAGCAAGGGCTGGGGATTTAGCTCAGTGGTTCTGCGGCCTGCCTTGCAAGTGCAAGGTCCCAAGTTTGGTCCCCAGCACCAAAAAAAAAAAAAGTCATTCAGCAGATCAGTGATTTCATTAAGTACCTAGACTATTTGTTTTGCTCTTCATTCATTTTTTGCACTTGTGCCTCGTGATCACACAATGGGTCTTAGAGCTCTAGAGATCACTTTTAGGAAAAAAAAAAGATTGGGGACAAAGAGACTTTCTCTTCTTGGGATTCTGTTCTGTTATTCAAGAGGAGAAAAATCCCAGACTGTCCAGTCAAAGGCTTCCCTTCATATTTCATTGACACTAATTATGATTAGTGTCATAATCATAATTCCCATTCCAAGACCAATCATTGGCAAAAGAAAATGACATTACTATGAATAATTTTTCCTTGATTTTCAGGGTTACACCAGATTTCTTAGATATCAAGTGATTTCTATCTGCTACAGAACATATAGCATGCAAACATATAGAAATATGTCCTCTGTAGGCAGTTAAGAGAGTCTACCACACATGTATATTTAAATATATTTCTTCCCACCCTTATATTTCCAGCCTCTCTCATGTTTTCATTTTTTAAATATAGGAAGGAGATACAGACCTAGACCAAGATGGTGGACTGAAAATACCTATCTACATCTTTTCCCTAACAAAACTCTCCAGAATTGACAGGAAAGGTTGTGTGTGAATTCTTTAAATATATGCATATGAATTCTGGAAATCATGAAGTACTTAGAAATTGTGAGGTTCTCTGAAAAATATAAGGGATTCCCTTGATTAAAGAAACTATAGTACTAAAAAAATACAGGAGAAGACCATTGTAAAATTTGGGAGTAGCTTTGAGGCATTCCAAATTTAGAGGATATGGATAAGGATAGAAGAATTATTAACCTTTTTGTTAATGGGGATCTTTATCCTCATTTAAGCTAATTATTAGGTAGCAGCACATTCATTCACTTCTTGCATTGGGACAAAGGTTATAGAGGTTTGGTCTAGAGTAGCAGGGTTTCCACACATATAGAAAATGAATTATTGGGCCAGGCATTTAGCTCAGTGGTTCTGTGCCTGCCTCGCAAGCACAAGGTCCTGGGTTTGATCTCCAGTACAAAAAAAAAAAAGGAAAAGAAAATGAATTATTGACAGACTTCATTGTCTGCACTTTACTCCCACTCAACAATCACTAGCAGTGGACTACAGAAAACAGAAACCCCATTACAGAAAAGCAAACAGAAAATATCTGATGCAGATTTAAACATACATATATGAGACACAAGGAACAATTAAGGAAAACCATCTCCATGGATAAATTCAACAAGTGCAGTCGCTAATACCACCCAAGGAAATGTCATTAGTAGAACAAATGTAAGGAGACTCTAAATTATAGTTAACATTCTCAGAGCAGACAAAATAGATAAAATAATAATATTATGAATGTTATTTTTAAAAACTAAGAGAACTTGAGTGCCTACTGTTCAGATCTCCACTTCTAATATTATTCTTCAATTAAAAAAACAGGGTTCCAGGGCTGGGGATTTAGCTCAGTGGTTCTGCCGCCTGCCTCAAAAGCGGAAGGACCCAAGTTTGATGCCCGGTACCAAAACAAAAAAAAACAGGGCTCCTTATAGACATGGATGATTCAGGAATATAACTTTTTAGGTCCAAATAAAATCTATCTATATATTTCCTTTGCTCTGTTGAATTAATTTTTAGGCAGGTTGTCCTCTCACTTTGATTAAAAAGTAAACAGCAGCTTTAGATTTACATGATTCTTATAACTGTTGCCATTCAAAAAACATTTGCCATTAAATTCAAGTTTAAAAATCTGAGAAGGGTTTTAATTGACTTAACATAAATAATATGTCTATTTCTGAACTACCCACTGAGTATTCTGATTGATCTGGTTTGCATCACAACCTATCCCTAGTTCTAGAGGGGTAGAGTCAGCCCCAGCTAAACTAAATGGATTTAAGGAGAATGTTGGTTCTCTCAGAGATATTGGGCAGACAAAAAAGATATATCACTACTAAGAAAGTGGTCAATTTCTGTGTTTAAGAATGGAACCGAAGGAGGGCAATTTTTATGATGAGAATGGAACCTAGACTACAGTGGACTTGGAGGTAAAGTACAGATTGAATGAGTAGACAATCATTACAAAGTAATGTTATGGCTGAGGTCTAAAATGTCCCCCCAAAATTTCATATTCAGAGGTGAGGCCTGCTTGCAAGAGGAAGGTCTCTAGGAGTATGACTTGGAAGAGTATATTCTCATCCTTGGCTCTTCCTTTCACTCTTGGCTTCCTGGCTGCTACAGTTGAGCAGCTTTCCTCCACCATGCCCTTTAACCATGCCACTTCTGTCTTGGAGGCTGCCAAGTACTGGCTGAACTCACTGAAACTATGAGCCAAAATAAACCTCTCCTCCTTTAAGTTGTAGGTGTCAGGTATTGTGTCTCAGTGACAGGAACAGGAAAGCTGACTAATATAAGAGTTAGGTACCAGGTATGGGGTTGTTGCTGTATACTTGACCATGTGGCTCAGAAACTTTTTGAATTAGTTTATGGGAGAAATCTGCAAAGTTCTGGAGAACCTAGGGCTAGAGAAGCCCTAGGATTCTATAAGCAGAACTTAATGAGAAATTCTGGTTGGAGTTCACAAGACCAGAATGCCATCAGGAATGTGGACAGTAGAGGCCAAACTCAGGAGGTATCAGATGGGAATGAGGACTGTACTGGAAACTGGACTGGCAACCATGTGTGCTTTGTTCTGGAAAAAAATTTGTCTATACTTTGTCCATGTCCAACACCTTTGTGTGAGGCTGAATTTAAAGGTGGTAGACTAATTAACCTGATCAAGATTTCAAGGCAGACCAATATTCAGACTATAGCATAGGTATTACTAGCTGCTTTAACCAAATCAATAGTGAGAATAAGAAGTAGAGATGAAAGATGTGGAAATTTTTGCTCATGGCCAGTAAGGAAGTGCTTGTAAAGTTGAGACCAACGAGGGCTTGGTTGCTGAAGATATTTATGTTATTAAAAAGGAATTAAAGGGCTGGAGATGTATCTCAGTGGTGCAGTGCCTACTGAACAAGCACAAAGTCCTGAGTTTCATTCCTGGTATCAAAAAAAAAAAAAAAAAAAAAGAGGAAAAAAGGGAACTAAGTACTTTGCACAGGGAAGAGAAGAAAGAAAGATACTTTGAGAATATCTCAGAAATCAGCAAGACCTCACCCATTGTAGGCTCAAAGGTGCAAAACTATAAACCTTTCATTTGAAAAGAGAGTCCCTGGGATGCCTACTGAAGAAGAGCCAGCGAGGGAATTGCTTCCATGAGATCTGTTTTACAATGTTCAGCTGTGCAAGGACTCAGAAGCTGCTGCAGCCATGGTTCAAGAAGGCATAGCTACTGCTCAAGTTAGTGGCACACTTTGGCATCATCCTTTTAGTGCTGGTTTTTCAGGTATGTAGAATGCAAGGGTAACAGGGTCACAGAGGCCTCTACCCATTTATCAGAGGAAGGCTTGGGAGGCCAGGCAAGTCCTTTAGAGGCCGAGAGAGTGAGGCCGAAGGTGCAGTGGAGACCCCAGGAAGTTAGAGATGCCAGGAACATGAAATGTCTACCCAGGAAGACTGAAGGCAGTGAATAGAGATGAACCAAATGCATTTTGCATAATAGATAGACATGAGCCCTTTATGGGCCAGGAGTGGAATGTCATGGTTGAGATCTAAAATTTCTCCTGAAAGCCTCATATTTGAAGGTGGGACCTGGTTAGAAGGGTTGGGTCACTGGGGGTGTGACTCAGAAGGGTGTATTCTAATACCTGCCTCCTCCCTTCTATCTGTTTCCTGGCTGCCATGGCATAAGTAGCTTTCCTCTGCCATGCTCTTCCACCTTGCCATATCTGTCTTGGAGCCAGTCAACTTTGGACTGAATCCATTGGAAACAATAAGTCAAATATACCTCTCTTCCTTTAAGTTGTGATTGTTGGATATTTTGTCCCGGCAATGGGAAAGCTGACTGATACATAATGAAAAGTTTTTCTTTCTTTTCTCATAGAGAAGGATTTTTTTTTTTGGTACCAGGGATCGAACTCAGGACCTTGCGCTTGCAAGGCAGGCAGCTGCATCACTGAGCTAAATCCCCAGCCCAAGAAGGATTTCTTTTTAAAGGTAGGATAAGCTTGACTAAATTTAGAGATTGAGAAGCAGAAGGCAAAATAGAGAGAAAAATAGATTATACAGGAGAGATTTTAGATGATGGTCTCCTCAGGGTCTGAGGAGCTATGAGGGAATAAAATCAAGAATATATAATAGCCTGGATAAGATAAGATATTTCTCACACTCAGCTGAAAGGACAGAAAAGTAGGTACGTTCCATCTAACATTGTCTAGTTTTTGCAGAATAAAATAAATATTGCTAAAACCAAAGAAAGGTGGGATCATAAGCTTTATGTAAAAGATAAAAATTTTAAATAACTGTTCTGAGGGTGGAAAAAAGACTATGTACACACAGACAGGTTTCCAAGCAATACTGAAAATCTATCTGAGATTGAAAGCTACACATTTTTTCTTTTCATGGCAACAGCACACAAAATTGTATGGCTTTTTTTTTTTTTTTTTTTTTTAGTAGACCTCAGTAGCTCAACCTTGGGTTCCCAGGACATAGCTAACTCAGGTTCTGAACAATAAACTACTTTCTTTTCTTTTTTTTTTTTTAAGGTATAGGTGGGGCCAGATGGGACTCTTGACTCCTGATGGGAGGAAAAGACCACCAAGCAAATGGCTCCACATTTATTTATAATGGTAGAGACATGGGGAAGCAGGGGCTGGTCTGTAACTGGAGCCAGGAGAGTAGCTAAGGTCTGCAGGACATCAGGCTTGGTTTTCTGGTGAATGGGCCAGGAGGAAGACAGTCCTCTTCTCAGTCAGACCTTGCTCCACTACACCATCTTGTCACCTGTTCTCCCGAGGGCCCCTGCGTCATCCTTGGGAGGTGAGTTAGGGCTGGCCATAGTGATCTACAGTGCATCGCTCCCAGTGGATGCTTTCTTTTCTATTCCTATGATTGCTGAGGTAACTGAAATTGAAGAATTAGTGGGAATGTTACGGTAATTTTTTCCTTCTGACATGGTTATGGAGATGAAGTAGTGCCAGGCCTTTTCAAATATTATCCATTGAAAAAAATATCAGTGCTAAGTCAAATCACAATAAGATTGAAGCTATATATTATTAGTGGCTTTTGATTCTGTTACTTTATGGATAGAGGAGAAAATAAAGAAATACATATAGGAATTATTTCTATAATTCTATAGATATATTTCTATAATCATTGTTTTTAATATAACTTGGAACTAGTTATTGAGACATGCTTTAATCATTAACAACTTCCAATAAGTACTATTATTGCAATAAAAGGGCAAGAGGTCAGAGCTTCAATGGCTGTAGGACTCTAAGCTCCTTGTATCCTTTGTGACCACAGCAGCTTTTCTTCAATTTATTTTACATAATTGGAGCACGTCATAAAATTTCATTAAAAAAAAAGGTTTTGCTGCCTTAAAATTTTGTTTAAACCCAATACTCTGAAGAATAAATCCTATCTAGATAGTATCTTTTTTTTCAAGAGGAAAATTAAATAATCTATGAAGAAACCTTGAAAAGGTAACATTTCATCTACAGAATGTCTTAAGTTCAACATTGGTTAGTGCTGTATTTATGAAACTCCCTTGCAGGCTTTGATTTCTTCCTTGGCCAATTCTCATATTCTTACAAGAGGAAAATAAGGAGGATAGTATAATGCCCCCTTTCACCTCTCAGTTGGATTTGTAAACAAACATTTTGGAAGCAAGCAGACAAGTAGGGTATATCTCCATTTTGTTTTGTCACAATACTAATTAATACACAATGGTTTTATTTTTAAATGAGTGTGAAAGAGAACAATGTTTTAAAAATTTTATTTTGGCGCGCTTGCTTCGGCAGCACATATACTAAAAATTTTATTTTGGGGCTGAGGATTTACCTCAGTGGTTCTGCTGCCTGCCTTGCAAGCGCAAGGTCCTGAGTTCGATCCCCAGTACCCAAAAAACCAAATTTTATTTTATTGGTATATTTTAGGTATACAATATAATGATATTCATCATTGGAAATTTGCACCTTTACATAATCTCTCTTGGTTCTTATATTTTCCCCCTTCCCCTGCCCTCCCTCCAACCCCTCCATCCCTCCCTATTTACAAAGACTTTGTTTCCATTTTTCATTTTAGGAGAACAATTTTTTAAACTCTGCAAATTATAATGTACTCTTTTTTTTTCTTTTACTCTGTCCAGCACAAACCAAGGCAGATATATCTTTGCTTGCCTGAAGGATAGTGCTACATATGTACAGTAACTTAATATCTACCCATCTGCCATGGATCATTAGTAACGTCACACATGAACTAGGACATTCTCTACCTTCATTGCAGCCTGTTAGTACTTCTCTAGTGTGCTTGGCTATTAAAGTTTGCCAAGCAATAATCCTAGGGCTTGCATTCTCCCTATTGATACACAGAAGGGAAGTAGACATGTGTTTGGTCACAACTCTAGTCAAACACTTCTCTCTTAGAGCCATAAAACCACGAAAAGAAAAAGAGGCATAGCAATAGCAAGGTCAATAAATCAAGATTCTGAAAAAGCCTATTTGAAACTGTCTTTTGACTGAGTGACCTCTGAATTCAAGGATCACAAATTACAGAACTGCCGCAAGGGCAAATTAGTTTAGAGGCTTAATTAAATATAATTCAAACAAGTACTAGGTTTTTCAGTAGCTCTGAGCTTATATTTTTCTAAACCTTTTACAGATAAATTGATTCCTTTATACATTCACTAAATGAACAATTACTGATTTCTTACTATGTGCCAGGCACTATGCTAAGCACTAGAACTCTTTTTCATAAAGTCTTCCTAGAATTAAGACTGAAGCTCTTCCCCAGCTCTCACACCTTCAATTCTCTACTAGTCCTTCTTCTAACATGCAAAAACCTATTCAGGCACTGTGGGCATAAATGCTTTCAACTAAATAAGTAGGTACAAAAAGAATCCCTTACTCATAATTTGAAAGATCTAGCCTTGTAAGCGATTTTTATCATTTCCTGTACTTAGTGCACAGCTTGCTGCTAGGCATAGCCTCAGTACAAAATCTATTTAAGGATATAAATGGGAATAAATTATAATCCACATTCTAATAAGCCTTACCAGGCCCTTTCTAAGGTTATATAACATTAGGGGAACTGGCTCCTGATTAAACTGGTGAGAATTGACGCAGGAGAGTTACTCAACAAACTATATGATGTTCTTTAAACACAGGCTCTATCTGAAATGTAGCAGCCTTGTCCTTATTAACAGGATTTCTCAACATTTGTGCATAATGTAAATGACTGCAACAGAAGAAGGAAGAAAAGCACTATTAAACATTATTGGAATTGAAATTCAGTTGCTATAGGAAAAGGCAGCATCCTACAAAACTTTGTTAAGCTTAAGGCTTGTGTAATAAGAATAGAACTGGGCAAACTTATATCTTTTTTTAAAGTAGAAAGAAGTTAAACTCAGATCACCAAATGGAGAATAACTAAGATGAAGAATTGATATGATTCATTTAACTATAATACTTTCTATGCATACACAAGTATTTGAGTACATTTTGGGAGCTGCTTAGCAAGGTAACATCACTTTAATTTTTACAAGTATATAGCAAGGATTATGACACTTTTTTGACATGTTGAAATTACAATAACAGCTCCTCTCCCTACTTCTTTTATACATACATATTATATTTTGTATCTACATAAAATATATATATATATTGATGTTTGAAAGTAGGGATTCAGAATATAAGGGATTATAGTTACTGATCACTGGAGAAATGTACATTGTACTGCATTTGATATCACAACAAGCAACTACCACGTTTTCAGCACTTACCATATACTGCAATGAATAGACAAACAAAACACATTTCCCTCTATTAAAAAAGTAATAAGATAAATTGAAAGTACATGCAAGAACAGGAAAATCCATAAACTATTGATTGATATTTTTCTGGGGCAGCAATAAATTACATGCTGTACTACTTATGTGAAGTTTTATAGGTTCAAATATGGCCACAAACTAATTAAAGTGAATATCTAATTAAATTTATAACAAATTACCTTGATCACAATTCTGTTTGACATGCTTAAAATGAAAGAGTTAATTTACAAATCTGGCCCAAGTGATTAAGGTAAAGGCAAAGCAGTAGTGGAAGGGTATGGTAAGGAAAGTAAAATCAGGAAACTAAGGTATAAGGGCAGGTAGAGGAGGACAGGTAAAAACTTGTAAGGAAGAAAAATCTTAAAAGTTAGTGAAACTGTGAAAATAGTACTGTTTATAAGAAAGGCAAACTAAGGGTTATAAACTTTACTTCTTAACATGCAGTAACAAGAAGGAAAGGTAAATAACTCCTCTTAATTGGTTTAAAAGGCAGAAAAACACTTTACAAAAAAATAAGCACCTAAAAGTTAAAACTAGTATCTATACAGAAATTTATGGTTTAGAAAATACTTTTATAATTATTATTATAGTTCAGCCTAGCCCAGCCTAACACATACTAAACATACAATACTTGTAAATTGATTTGAAGGTAACTTAGAATCAAACTGTTACATTTTAAATATTGTAAAGAATATCTGTTAGTATAGGATGTCACTAAATCTCTGGAATTAGAAAAGGCTATGGTGAAAGAGATGAACGTCTTATCCACTTATCTGTTACCTTCTTTATCCTGTAAATTTTTTTTTTTTTTTTGGTACCGGGGACCAAACTCCAGTCCTTGCGCTTGCAGGGCAGGCAGCAGAACCACTAAGCTAAATCCCCGGCCCTTATCCTGTAAATTTTTAATCTGCATAATTATGTGGAATTTGGGTAAAGGGTGAAGCTAGGAGTCAAGTTTTAGATCAAACAGTATAAATACATGGTCAAATTTAGTAGTAAAATAATAAACATGACTGTATTTGTCACTTTCCTGTCCCTGGGACAAAATAACCAACACCCACAACTTAAACAGGGAGAAGTTTATTTTGCCTTACAGTTTCAGAGGGTTTAGCCCATGATTCTCTGGCTCCAAGGCAGAATGCGCATGGTGGAGGAGAGCTGCTCAACTCATGGAAATGAAGAAGCAGAGAGGGAAGGAGGAGCTAGGGACAACAATACACCCTTCCTAGTCATTTCCTCAGTGGCCCACCTTTTTCATCCAGGCCCCACCTCTTGTCAGCACATTCAGCTAAGAATTCATTAATGGATTAACCCATTGATGAGTATTATCACCCCCATAATCCAATAACTTTTCAAAAGCCCCACCTCTGAACACTTGAGAGTTTGGGGGGACATTTTAAGTCTAAACAATAACAAAGACCAAGAACAATAAGCATCCCAAATCACTAGAATTCATTTTATTTTCATAATAGTGGATTATCTGCTAGGTATCAGTCAAGTCTTCTCACTAAATTTTCTCTTTAATTAAGTAAGAAAGATGAATAGTTACAAATTGTCTCAAAAGCATTAATAGAGAACAAAGAGAAACTGAACTATTTCCCAAACTACATTTAAAATAAACTTCTGGGACTATATATTTAAAATCAAAAATTTGAAGACTAAAAACCCAATGAAAAATGTAATGTTTCTTTTAGATTTTATTGTATAAGAGGAATGGTTAATTATCTACCTTGGGATTTTATTTCATTTTTTGCATTTTCCACCACATGGTTGCTGGTCTCTGTTGTAGAGACATCTGGCACAGTCTGTGAACTCTTTGAAAGGAGAAAAGAAGCACCAATTTCAAAATGAGTTGCTTTTCCTCAAAGATGCATTAACTCTCACAATTAAAGGGGAATTAATATCTTTACAGGAGCTACTAAACATCCCTACTTAGTTTTTTTGAGGATTTAATGTTGTATTCTGGAAGCAAAGCAATAATCACAATTTATTGCATTCACAAGACAAAATGTTTTACTCAATATGTCGCCTCATCTGCCTATTGCTAACAAAACAACTTGCTGGAAGTATCTCAGTTGTACATTAATCCTTGAATTATACAATACTTTCTATACATACGTATCATAGTGGAATCAAACCTTTGAAAATGATCCTTTTAAGCTACTAGAATCACTTTCCATATGTGTATAGAAAAACATTTCATCTTAATTGAAGAACTTAAAGATTAATTTATGAATAATGGAAAAACAGGATATTTTAAAAACTCATATTAGTCAATTAATGTGAATCTGTTTAACTATTTTGAACTGCTTCCTTTTCAACATTGTAGTTTTTGGGGTTTTTTGTTGTTGTTGTTGTTGTTGTTTTTTGGTGTCGGAGATCAAACTCAGATCCTTCCGCTTGCGCAGCAGGCGGCGAAACCACTGAGCCAAATCCCCGGCCCTCAACATTGTAGTTCTTTACCAAGATAGTATTACATTTATTTAAACACAAAATTACTTAAATTATTAACATGGAAATTACATTTCCAGCAGGGCAGTGATGTTACTCTAGAAACTGGTGGTTACTGTACTTAAATAATAATTCTGATTTTAGAAAGCAAGCTTAATTTATCTATAATTTATATAGCAAATAATTTACCTGTCTACAAGAGCTTTCTGTGACTGAAATGAATCATTTTAACAACATAAATTGGCCACTTTCCATTTATTATTTCATTTATCTTTTTGAACACCCTATTTTCCTTTTTCATAAAAATATTAATTTATCTAGTTTATTCTCCAGGATTAACATTTGATTATTCATGACAACTATACCTCAATAGGCTCTTCCACTTCAGTTGAGTCCTGTTTTTCTTTGGCTTCTTTTCCATTTTCCTGAAATGGAAACAGTGTTAGTTCAATGGTATCTAAAAGGACCTGGGAGTTATGCTAGTGTGTTATACTCTAGTATAGCAAGTTTTTTTATTTTTAAAAATTTCGTATAATGAGTAAATATCATTCCAAACAAAATTATACAAAAATGTTTATATCAATAAATTTGAACAGTTAAAACTTGTTATAATTAAGGAATGCTAACCAACTAGCAGCAGGTCACTATGATCCAACTATTATTTTGACCTTTTTTTGTACATTTCTGTAAAAATCTGATGTGGAACACTTCAATTACAAAAAGCAATGATAGAAAATGTCATTGCATTTCAATTTTCCCAAGAATGTTGAATTTCAAATCCTGCCCCCCTCCCCCCATACTGGAGCTCAAACCATGGGCCTTTGCACTGAGCTACACCCCAGGTCATTAAAAATTTTTTTTATTGTGAGACAGGGTCTCACTAAGTCCCTAAATTTCCCAGGCTGGGCTGGAACTTTTGATTCTCTTGCCTCCACCTCCCAGAGTGCTGGGATTACAGGCGTATTCCACAATATCTGACTCAAATCCTTTCATAAATGAGTAGAAATCTTTGTAGGCTAGGAACCTGAGCAGGTTTGGATTCCTCTTGGGATGTTGATTCACTTGTCTGGTCCATGGTCCATTAAAAATATCACCAAATGGTATGGGTAAGTAATACAAGGCCAGTACTAATAACAAAAACAGAAAATATTAATGAACAACAAAAAGTACCCTGAAAGCTTAAAATCTCCCTCACCCCCACCCTCACAGTACCCCAACATTCTATTGGATGGTTGGTCACAAGTTCTCAACTGCTGAACTTTTCAAACTGTACTACTGCTATTATTGTTGTTACTGACAAAAGCTAGATCAGTGTAAGCTAGTGCTCAGGAAAACAAGGAAACTCACAGTGATCATCACTGTTACCATTTTTTTAAAATCCAGCAATAATAATGCAATTAACTTTTAGTACTATTACCACCATTATTAGTTTTTGTAATAAGAGTCAAAGAAAGGGAAAGTGAAACATTGACTGCTACGTAATTCACAAGAGAAAGGTAGACAAATAATAGAATAATTTCCTTAAGAAGCATTTTTTGGTGGGGGGGGTTGGGGAGGAATATGATTTAGTTGGTTTATTTATTCATATTGAGGAATTAAAATGGATACTTACCAGATCCCCACTTCACTGTACTGCTGTGCCAAAAATCATTTGATAATTTGAGTATATATGGGCTAGGTACTGTGTAAAGAGTAAATTATGTACATGTGTCTCTGCCTCTAGGGCAATTACAATCTAGGCACTCTTTAATTTGAAATCATATGTATTTAACACTCTGGAGTATTCCTTTTCTTTTATATCAACAAAACACATATTCTAATGGAATAAACCAAAAGTTTTCCCTTTGGAAACAACAGATTCCAACACAAAAATGGCTACCTCAAATGGTTTTTAAAAGCAGTCCATAAATATTAAATATAGTGCTTCCTTTGGCAGCACATATACATAAATATTGAATATAAATTTCTGTGATAGTTCCCAACTGTATATAGTCTTTGCTTATGGTATCCATTTCCTGAAATTGCTAAGAGTTTCCTTTTATTTCTTTTAAAATCTGTTTGGTTTGCATGTACTAAATACTTTCAACTCAGTAAACACTGAGCAATTGCCTTCTATATGCAGAAAGATGTTGGGGTTAAAAAGATAAGACTTATTGAAGAATTTCCAGGTTAGTGAGGAAAGACAATGCAATTCAACCTGCAAAGTACAAGAATAGAAGGACAAATTAAGTGCCACAGTACAGAAAGGAATAAGCAATTTTCTCAGGAAAAGGAAGTATTACAAAGGGTTTCCAAACTGAATTTTAGAGGACTAACAAGAAATTTTTGTCTAAGGGTGGGTATTTGAAGAATGAACAATATACTTAAGGGTATAAGAGTTCAAAAAATGAAGTGTTCATATAACTGCATAGTTATGTAGAAAACAGTGACAAAAGATGAGGCTAAGAAAGGTCATAACAGTATAAAATTTGGCACAATAGCACACCTGTAAATCTCAGCTAATTGGGAGGGTGAGACGAGAATTGTGAGTTTGAGTCCAGTTAGAGCTCAAACATAGTGAGACCCCTCAATCTAAAAAGTTATAATCAACATGTAAAGAACTAAGCATGCTAAATCAAGGAGTTTGGACTTTATTCTGTGCTTTTTAAGCAGAGGACAGATGTTATAAAATTGGTGTTTGTAGCAGGCTTCCCTAACATTCACAAGGCACTAGGTTCAATCTCCAGCATATATATGGAAATATATATATATATATGTGGAAATATATATATACATATATTTCCTTAGCAACATTAGCAACATGGAGGATGAACTGGAAGTATAAAGGATTTGAGGAGCAGAGAATAAAGGTAAAAGTTGTATCTAAGGTGAATTGCTTACTGCCCCTTAGTCTAGTTTAGGCCCGGCTAGATAGTGTAAATACTCCAATTATATCCCTTCAGATTTACTTTTCTAGTACACGCAGACAGCTTCTGCCTGCAAGGCCTCAAACCCAGATAAATGTACCCTGCAAAACTATCTTTCAAACTTGATGGAGAAGTAAGATACTTTCATGATAGAGAGCACCTTAGAAACTTCATGAATATCAAACCAGCACTGCAAAAAAATTATAAACAATATCCTAGGAAAAGACAATGAGGATCACAACCTCAGGAAGCCCAGAAGAATGAATCCATTGAGCACAACAAGTAATTAAATGCAAAGGGGGAGAATCCAACAAAAACAAAAAGTCATGACAATGATAAGTCAATACATATCAGTTATAACCATCAATGTTAATGCTCTCAATTCACCAATCAAAAGATATTGACTGGCAGAATGGGTCAAGAAGCAAGATCAAAAATATGCTGCATACAAGAAACATACTTAAGGGCCAGGGATTTAGTTCAGTGGTTCCGCTGCCTGCCTTCCAAGTGCAAGAAACCAAGTTCCATCCCCAGTACCATAAAAACAAGAAACACACTTAATTCAAAAAGAAACTCATAGACTGAAAGTTAAGGAGAGGAGTGGAAAACAATACTCCATGTGACAGGAACATCAAAAAAAGCAGGAGTAACTATCCTCTTTGCAGATCAAGTGGATTTCAAATCAACACTGATTAAGAGAGACAAAGAAGGACACTACATTCTTTCAAAGGGAACAATCCAAGAGGAAGAGATGACAATCATAAATATATATGTGCCAAACAGTAGTGCGCCCAACTATGTAAAACAAATACTAATGGACATGAAACATCAAATAATTACTAATACAATAGTAGTGGGGGACCTCAATACCCCACTCTCACAAATAGATAGATCAACTAGACAAAAAATAAACAATGAAATACTAGAACTCAATCAAACTATTGAATAAATGAACTTAAGAGATGTTTACAGTGTTCTACTCCACAAAATCAGAATACACATTCTTTTCAGCTACACACAGGTCGTTCTCAAAAACAGACCACACACTTACTTATAGAACATGTTTAAGTAAGTGCAAAGGAACTGAAGTTATCCCCAGTATATTATCAGACCATAGTGTGATGAAATTGGAGAAAAATAGCAAAAGAAAACACAAAAATTTTATAAATGCATGAAAATTAAACAACACACTTCTGAATAACCAATGGGTCACAGAGGAAATTAAAGAAGAAATCAGACAGTTCCTACAATTAAATGACAA